ACTCTACACCAAGATTAATCTCTGGCATCTTTGAGAAAGATTGAGCCAAGAGACTAATTCCAAATGCAACAGATGACAGAAGCCCATATAAAGTGGGACTAATTCTGTATGTTATTAGAGAATTTAGTCCCTACAAATGAATGTGCTTGTCCACTCCAACTAAATAATTAGAAAGGTATATGTAAGAGCAGTCTACTTAAAACATAGCTCTGTATATTTTACCCTAAGAAAACAACTAGAGATACGGTAAGAAATTTATGTTTGAGATGTTCATGTCAGTGTTATATACAATAGATTAAAAAATGTTTAACAATATGGCATAAGTTACAAAAAATTAACGCTCAGCCACATGATGTAATTATATAGACAGCCACTAAAATCTTTTATAACAATATTAACTGGCATAGTAAAATGCCAATAACTTTAACAGGGAAAATGTTTACCAGATAGCTTATTATAATAATCAATTTTAGAAAAGACCAAGTGTCTAAATATTGCATATACATTGTCAAGTCCCTCCTGCCAAGGATTCCTGGGACCACACCAACAGTTGCCAAGCTAATTTTTGTGGGAGGGAAAAGAAGATACATCATGAAGAACAAAGGGGCATCTCAACAAGAGGTTGTTGGAAAAGACTTCACATAATATTTTGGTTCATGCTAAGTGATTGTCAAGGAGAGTTTAAGTCACTGGGCCTTGCACTGCATCAGATATCATGAAAAAACAGGGACAGTCTTATGACTGGATGTCTTTATAAATCTTTATCTGCAGAAAGAGAAGACTAGAAGAAGGCCAAAACCATGACTTATTTTTAAAAGACCACACTAATCACCCAAAACAGCCAGAGTAAGCACAAGCTTTGCCTTTATTAATGTTATTTTATTATTATTATTATTCAATATTTGGATACAATTCTTGTTTTGTCTGCAGTGAGGTAACATTATGGAGTGGTCCTAATTTTCTCTTAATCTATCATAATTACAGAACATCCTCATCCGACATTAGTGCTTTCAAAACTAATTTATATTTCTCAAGAGTGTGAGTGCCAACCCAGCTGCTAGTAACACAGAAGCCCAACAGCTAACTGGATGTTGGGCACTGATTTTCTTTTCATACTCACATAAGTAGAAAACATCGGACTTAAAACAAGTATCCTTTTACAAGGTGTTTGGGATATTTCAGAGACTGCTCTAAGTACTTTTTTTATCTTTGATTTAACCCTCACAGCTACTCTGTGCAATAAGTTCCATTATTATTCTCATTTTCCAGCAGAAAAAAATTGTGGCACAAAAAGGTAGCTACTCAACTGATATACATTAAGTAATGAGCAATGATTCAACTCAGCCACTACTGAATTAACAGTCTTAACCTTGGCATTATGTTGCCTATATGTATAATAAATTGTCAACAAAGGTTACTTATGAAAGATGTTGGAAGTACAGGGATACAGGTGTTTTGCTTTCTTTTTATAAATTAATATACATTCATTTTAATCAGGAAAAAGTCCTGATATATGAAAGTATTCATGGAAACTCTGTTCCCAAGATCGTCATCCCAAATGCAAACCCAAGTCTTTGGTGGTGACAATACTCCCTTGCATGTCTAAATCAAAAGAGCAGAAAAATCTGGAGAGAAGGCAACTCCATTCATGTCGATTTTCATTCTTTCTAGCTCTCTTTCTCATTCTTGCTCTAATTTGCTTTAGACAACACCAACTGGATCGTGCACAATAAAAGGTGGCTGAAAATCCACTCTCAGACGGTTCTATTGCTAACACAAGCAAATGCAAGTGCCCCGAAATGCACATAGGGGCTGTTGGGAACCAGAAGCAAATGCTTTGGTCTCCTAGGAAAGGCCTTTCAGTGTGATAAGGCAACACTCCCCCCCTCCCCCCCCCCCAGACTCCCTGACTCTCTAAGACTCAGCCCAGGCACTGAGAGAGGGCACTCTTGATCTGCAGCCTGCATAAGAGCTCTCATGAAGTGGCTATAAATTCTGAGAAAATCAAGGTTGCAAAGGAACCAGTGGAGGGGCAAAGCTTATAGAACGAAATAAGCTTCATCAAATGCAAAGGTTCCCAAAGAGACCTGGGGACTGGTTTCTCTTCTCTCACTTTTGCCCCGGCTCTGGTATCAGGACACAGGACTCAGCCCTCCCTGATCCTGCTTGCCTGGGACCCAATTTAGGCCTCTTGAGAGGGGTCCACTAACTAGCTGCTGGCTCAGTCACAAGGAGCCGCCCCCCCCCCCATTTTCCCCCATTGACACCTTCTCACCCCTTACACCCCCACACACCCCCCCCCCTTCGTCTTTTCATCTGCCCAGGCTAAGAGTCACGCAGGGTAACCACTAGTCATTTAGCACCTTGGCTGCGCAATGATGGGTGGTTTCCCAAAGCTCATGCCCTGGCAGCCACTGGAGCTCGCCTCGCGCTTGCAGGGGCACAAGTCAATGAGGCTTTTCCCTCAGCGATCATCGTGAATCAGCAAAGCACTGCACAGCAGCGGTGTCTCCCTGAGCAGAAATTAAGATTCTGGGGGAAGGGCAAAAAGTGGAGGGTGGGGTGGGTTCTAGCCCCTTCCAGTGAACCTCTACTTGTGAATGGAAATACTGGCAGAATGGGGGGTTGGCTGGAAGCTGCTGGGTTTAGGCATCCTGGAGGAACCTTTGGAAACTGAGTTGGGTGAGTAGACGAGGGTGAGCAGAGAAAGCAGCAAAGAGGTGGGATCAGGGAGCTAGCGCGTGCCCAGGCAAGTGGTCGGTGGTGCAGCAGTAGCAAGTGTTGCTGAGAGAATGTAGGAATGAGCATCGAGTATGAAGGAAGAGGGGAGAGGATCAAAGAAAGGATTCCCCAGCCTGCAACTTCCTGTTTTCAAGGTGTAAGTTCCCAAGTTCAGTTTGAGAAGTGGAGAGCCAATTGCCTTTGGGGAGTCCGGGATGGGCACGTTAGGGTAATGCTTCCCTGAGTTGCTTTCTCCCATCCATCCCTCTCTCTTTTCCCCTCCCTCCTTCTCTTTCGTTTCCCTTCTCCTTCTCCCTCATTCTCCTCCTTCTTTTCCTCCTCCTCTTGTCCCTATTCCGTCTTCTTTCGGCTTTGATTAATATGCATGTCCATGCTCAGTAGTGCGGGCCACACTCCAGGGACCGCGCCTCCTGCCTCCCGCTGCTGCTGCCGCCGCTTCCGCCTCCCGACTGGACCCTCAGCACCGGGAGACTGGGCTGGAGCGACCAGAGGCTGAGGATGGGGAATCCAAGCACCCGGAGCCTAAGGATCCCCTCACTACCTCCTGGTGCCCACCCCATCCCCACGCCCTAAGGACCCAGACTGTGAAATCTGGCTGGCTCTGCGACGCAGTGGACTGACCCAGAGACTTAGAGCGCGCAATGAACCGCGCCAAATTGTACCTGTGCGTGGCCGTTCCCGCCGCCGCTGCAGGTCTATCCCGGGCCCGAAGCCGGCGCCCGCCTTCTCGGGGATTTCTCCAGAGGGGGAGTGCGAGGGGAACCGCGGTGGCTGCCTGCTAGCTCACAGCTGGCGCGCACACGCCCAACTTTGCCGGGCGGTCGGCAACCCCCCTCCCCGCGCCCGTGCTTCCCCGCTCCCCCTGAGGCTCGACCCTCTTGGAGACCTGTATCTCTCGGAGTCTGAGATAAGGTTTTCCCCACTTTCACAATCTTGCGGATAGAGGAGAGAGCGGAGTGACGGAGAGAAGGGGGTTAAGGCTACAGACTCCCTGAACAGCCTTTTTCAAACACTCTGCGCCCGCAGGGGCGCCCGCGTCAGCCCCGCCGCACCAGGTCCCCCAGACCTGCCAGTGACGACAGAGAGAGAGGAGGAGGAAGAAGAGGAGGTGGAGGAGGAGGACGCTGGGCGGAGAGTCGGGAGCCCAGGAGCCTTGGCTACTGCTGGTTCCACCAAGTGTCCGTCAATTATCAGCACTTTTATTACTGGGGGACTTGTAAGAAGGTTGGGGGATGCGGGGCAAAACTGCCCGGCACTAAGCCACTCGAAGGAGCTCGCATTCGGGCGCGAGAGAACAATTCTCCACGGGCACATTTTGGGTGGCCGTGCTCCTGACGCACCCCCAACCCCGCGGTCCCGCTGAAGCTGCAGTGTTGGGGCTATCTTAAATGGCTCATACTTGAGAGAGGAGGCGTGATTTCCACGTTCGAGCGTCTTCGCTCCCCACCCCCTCTCGGCAGCAGCCACTGCGCGCCACCACCTGAGCCTGGCGAGCGCCGGGGCGCACGCAGTCTTCAGCTGGCTCCTCTCTGCCTGTAGGGATACTCGGCTCGGAGCACCTCTGCCCAACGCCACACCACCCCGGTCCCTCGCCGCACGCCCCGTTGGAACTCTTTACTTTTTCTTTGGAAAATCGGGGCGATTTCTTTATTTATCTCTGGGTCTCCCCGAGGAGGGCAGAGGAGAGGAGGGCGAGCGGCGCGGGCCGGGCCGGGGGAGGGGAGCGGGGAGGGGGGGGACTGGGTGTAGCCTGGAATTCTCCGTCCTCGTGTTCCTAGGCTGGCGCGCAGAGTTCCCGGGCGATAGCGCCGCCGCTCCCCGCGCCACCCGGTTGTTGGCCTTGGGGGTCGGGTGAGTGGGGTCATGACGCGCCGTGGGGGCGGCCCGCAGCCCCGCCCGCGCTAAGAAGGGACGCGGCTGCGCCGCGAGAAGACCCCCGGGCCAGAGGCGGCGGGGGGTGGGGGGGGAGGGCGCACGGGCTAGGGCGGGGTAGAGGCGGCGCGGAGGCCGCCAAGCTGGGGGGCTCTCCAGGCGGGCGCGGCTGCGGGCAGGAGGGCGTGTCTCCATCCCGAGGGGACCCTCCCGAAGCGAGGCGCGGGACTCCCCGATGGTGGTGCCCCGGCTTCGGGAGAGCTCAGGGTCTCGCCTTCTCCGCCGCCGCCGCCGCCGCCGCCACCGCGGGCGCCACCACCACCGCCGCCGCCGCCGCCGCCGCCGCCCGAGCCCGCGCCGAGCGTGCGCCTCGCCCTCCTCCCGCACCCGCTCTGCTCTAGGATGCTGCGGCAGGTTCTGCACAGGGGCTTGAGGACGTGTTTCTCCCGGCTCGGCCACTTCATTGCCAGTCACCCGGTCTTCTTCGCCTCGGCGCCGGTGCTCATCTCCATCCTGCTCGGCGCAAGCTTCAGCCGCTACCAGGTCGAGGAAAGCGTGGAGCACCTGCTGGCGCCCCAGCACAGCCTGGCCAAGATCGAGCGCAACCTTGTCAACAGCCTCTTCCCTGTCAACCGCTCCAAGCACCGACTCTATTCGGACCTGCAGACTCCCGGGCGTTACGGCCGGGTCATCGTCACCTCCTTCCAGAAAGCCAACATGCTGGACCAGCATCACACAGACCTGATCTTAAAGGTGAGAGGGGGGCGGGGGCGGGTAGCCTCCACCCGTGTACCTGCCACAGCCAGGCTGCCTGAGTGCGAGGGTCCCGGCTAAGAGCGCCGCCTGTCCTATCCCAGACGACTGCCGCAAGGGCTCCCCTGCACTGCGTGCCCCTGGGCGGCCACTCTGAGCCTCCCAAGCTCCCGAGCAAGGAGCGTCCGGGTCCCAGCTTGGCCCTGCTCGCGCCGCCTCCGCCACCACCCCGCAGCTGCTGCAACAGTTGGGGCGGCGGCGGCCGTGGTGCTGTGGTCAGTGCGCTTGTTTTGGTCGCAGTGGGCTTGGGGGTGGGGCAGCCTTGGGGTAACTGGGCCAAGGAAGGAGCAGAAACAGACAAGACATTTTAGAAAGTCTTGCTACTTAAGAATAAAATACGGTACTTGGGAGACATTCTGAGACACCTCTCCCCGTCCTGTTTTATTGTTGTTGTTGTTGTTGTTGTTTGGGTGGGGGGTTGTTCCCTCCTATGCCCCCTTCCATTTGGAGAACAGTTGTGGGGGCAGAAAAATGGGAGGCGGGATAGCAAGGAAACTGCCTTCCGACCACTCAGAAAGGAGCAGGGTGCCTGGAGAGGTCCCGGCCGTTCTGCTGCGGTCTTCCCCAGAACCAGATAGCCATCTCTACCTTTTAGGGTAGGAAATGATGTTTGAAATGTGCAGTTCTTTCCTGCTTCACAGTAGCTCCTCCCTGAGAAATGTAAAAACTTCCTTGGGAAAAGAGGGAAGCAAGCCATCTACTTTGATTTAGGTGCATTGGAGCTTGGGAGTGAGAGGCAGAACCACAAGAGTGAGAACAGAAATCTGGCTCACTCACTCTCAGAAACCGTTTGTGCCATCAGCACGAGGTGGGAATTGGATAGGAAAAGTGAGGTTAATTGCCGTAAATTTAAGAAGTTCCTAAGAAAAGCAGAGGAGTAAGGACTACAGGGGCAATAGTGGAAACCTCAGGAGGGAAAAGCAAAAAACTAGTGAGAATGTTCCATCTGCATCCCCAGTGGGAATGTGGAGCTTGTTTACATATGGTTCTCCACTGGGGAGGGCCAAGGGGAACCAGGCCCTGCTGGGATCCAGGTGCACAGAGATAAGGGCTGTTGGTTTTCTGTGGGTCTTTGGTCCAGATGGGGCACTAGACTCCTGTGCAGTTTCTAGTTTACCTATCTTAAGAAGAGTCTGCCAATAAACCTGGATGACTCTTCTCCATGAGTAACAGCTTATCCCTGGAGACAAGCTAATTTCCCTCTATTACACTTGATCTTAGCTAATTTCCCTTCCTTTGTTGACACATTATCAACCAGCAACATTAGTAACCAGGGGAATCTGCCTGGAGAATCAGTGGAATTTGGACCTTTCCACACTGACTGGCTTGTGGATATTGTTAATGGCACACAAATGTCACACATATATTCATCCACACAATACACAACTGCATCCATGCTAACCCTGAAATGTTTTTTTTTGTCATGATTGTACTTCCAACATCAGTATTTTTCTCAATATTCCAGTGCACATATTTTGACACACAGATAATACCGCTTCCAGTGCCTTCTCAAGAAAACATGCATTCATCACAATCTTATGGGAACTATCAGTTAGTTAGGATGGTTGGAAATGCCCTATTTGTGACAGATGATTTACCAAGAGAGGTTGCTCTTTTTATTTATTTCCAAGGCAATGTTTCCCTCAGCTTTTTCTCCCTTACCAAGCCATCACTTGATGGGCAGTCAGCAGTCACACTCAGTCTCAAGGTTAATGAAACATCAACAGGCACATTGGATCTCTTTTCAACTGGATTCTTTCTCCCTGATTTGATTCTGATCAGTTTAGGACAGAAACTGATTATTGTCAGAGAAGGTTAGGACTGGTAAGAAAAAAGCTCCACATCTAAAGGGTAACTTTAAAGGACAATGGTTGAGTCAAGTGGATTGTTTTAAAAAATGGGATAGTTCTCATGTTGGATGTGTGGGTAAAATCAAAATCAAGCTGACTAGTGGTCAAAACTCATTTCTAACTGACAGCTCTCTGGTCGCATGACTTCATACAGCTTAGAAAAGCCCTGATTTTTGAAACCCAGGGAATGGCCTCAGATTTAAAATCATATATTCCCTATTTCTTTCTTCATCCAACCCTTATTTGTGGTAGGTATGGAGCCAGGAGACAGGGAAATGGCCCTTCAGTAGTCATGGTAATGTAAAGTGTGGGAGTGAGTGCTTATTTCTTTTCTTCTTCTCCATTTAGACACATGATGACTTATCCCTTACAAAAGGTATTAAGAGTGCACAAGTCGCTGTTACTGCCATTACTAGTGTCATTCTGCTACTCTGTTGCTGAGATCCAGGATAGTGCCACCAGTTAAGACGGCACACATCACAGAACACCCCGCGCCCGTTTGCACACATCACATTTCAAGTGAAGTGGGCAGAGCAGGAGCAGGGTTGGAGGCTCGTGGAGGGCCTACCACCAAACTGGAGGAGGCAGGTAGCAAGCTTGTAGATGGTGCTGCTTCAATGCATTATGTTTCTCTCCTCATAATGCTTTGGAGTTATACCTATTCAATCAAGAATATCCTTCTTGGAACACACTAAACCTATTGCTCACCAAAAATAGACTGGAAGGGTGCGATAATAAAAAAAAAAAATGAAAAGCCACATTGCCCTTTTAAAAAAATAATATATTTCAGAGTATCATAGAAAAAGAAATCTACATTTGCAAATCACACTCATTTGGTTGGGAACAGTATTCTAAAACTTGTTCAAATTGCATGACTACCATAATCTGACACGGCAGCATGGACTCTGATCCCAAACCATGAAGGGGTGACTGTCCCTGGCAATGAGGGCCACAGGAAAAAGAAGTAACTTAGGGTAAAAGATTCTAGAACCTGATGGTCCTGAAAGGGCTCGCCCATTGATTTGTGAACCACTTTACGTACTTATCTTCAAAAGTATTTATTTTACAGAAAATCTATGATGCTCATCTTAGATCAAATTTCAAAGTAGTGCATCATAAGATTTATAAATTTTTCTTGTTGTCAACTAAATGAAATATTAAAAAGGAAACATAGATAATTGAACCACATTATGACCAATACTTAGTTATTCCAGAATTACACCTAGAGAAAAAATAGTTTAGACCATCCTTGCTGTAATAATGCCACATTTACAGCACTTTATAGGTTATAAACATGATATGTGTAAATACCATAAATTGGAAAATGGAATGTTGTTATCACATTTTACATATTTGAAAACTACTCCTTAGATGCTAACAGACTTGTCCACAGATAATCAAGATCCAGATTTTGACCACTAAGCCCAGTGCTCTTTTCACTTCCATATGATAAAGTATTTGAAATGTTTTAAAACGTACATTTTTGTTACCCAACTAAACTGCATTTGACTAGGCTCAGCTCAATGGCTCAGTGGATAAAATCCTCTCCTTGCATGCACCAGGATCCCATCTGGGTGCCAGTTCGTGTCTTGGCTGCTCTACTTTCCATCCAGCTCCCTGCCTGTGGCCTAGGAAAGCAGTAGAGGATGGCCCAACGCCCTGGGACCCTGCACCCTTGTGGGAGACTCTGAAGAAACTCCTGGCTCCTAGCTTCAGATCAGCTCATCTCTGGCCATAGTGGCCACTTAGAAAGTGAACCAGCAGATGGAATATTTTGGTATCTGCATCTCCTTCTCTATGTAGATCTGCTTTTCCAATTTAAAAAATGGAATAATCTTTTTTTTTAATCCCTTTTTTTAGAAAAAAAAAACTCCATCTGACTAATGACTTATATTTCATCTCATACTATTAGTAAGGACTTGTTTTTAACTGATTATATCTGATATCAGTAAAACTCCACTTCCCCCACCACTCAAAAAAACCTGAAAATTCCCAAAGTAAAGTATAAGATAAGTAATTACCAATATACAAGTATAGGAAGAATATTCCTAGAATAAAAGTCTGAATGATTGAACAAAACTGTTTCCTGTCTAAGTGCTAGGTATGGTCAGAATCCAGGTGGATTGAGTTCTAAAGCATCAGCTAGTCCCTGGAAGATAGTAGCCACTCAATAAATACTTTGAAAATAACATTTTTAAATTTATAGGCAGCTTCTTGGTATCTCTTTTCCCAAGATACCACTCTTCCTCCCTTCCATGTCGCAATTTGGAGGGACATTTCCTATATAACAATGTCCTTTTCTTCAGAGGGACCTCACGGGATATTTTATTTCAAATCTAGGGAAGGACACATCCTCAATAAGCAGACATTCTCCCATGTACTAGGGAATTGCATTCTGTTCAAATATTGGGTTTGTTTTATTAAAACCTTTTATGTTTAAATATATTCAATGCAATTAAGTTAGAAACAAGATTAATAGAATTTAAGTTGGAGTTATTTAATTTAGGTTCTACAAGGAGGATAGCATAACTGCTAGCTCAGGGTCAGGAAGACCAGGTAGCTGGATCAAGATCTCAGTTACTCCAAATATTGTTTCAGTACTTTCAAACCTTTATGGGAGTTGCCATAATTTCTTCCTCTACAATCTAAGGATTGACAAATTCAAGTCTATTTGTTTTTCTTACACCAAGTTGCCACTTCTTAAAAAAGATTGTAAGCAAAACAAGCATAAAAGAGATGGTACAGCAGAGATTTGTGTGGCTCCCAAAGCCTGAAATACATAAAAAATAACCCACGTTGAATTCTAAAATTGTATTACCGGAATAATTTTAGGCAGGTAATAATGTTAAAATCATCTAGAAGGCAGTAGCTCTCAACCTGGAGTGACTCTGTCTCCCCAAGGCCATTCTGCAATGCCTGATTGCAGAGGTGGGGGTTTGCTAGTGGCAGCTAATAAATAGAGGCTGAGAATGCTGCTAAATATCCTATAATCCACTGAACAGCCCTCACAACAAAGAATTATCTGGACCCAAATCTCGATAGTGACACCATTTGTATACTGGTGATACTGAGTTTGTATAATGAGAATGG